GGCCCGGACGAAGCCGCTGATGCTCTCCGGCAGGGGCAGGCGCTTGAGGTAGCCAGGCAGCTGCACTTTGATGATGCGAGCCAAGCTCTCCAGCAGCATGGCGATCGGAGGGGGAGGGGCGCTACTCGGCGGCCTCCCCGCCCGTTACCTCGTCACGTGCTGGAGGTGGGATTTCTGCTACGGAGCATGTGCGGGCCTCCGGTCAGCGCGCTTGCGCACTGGGCAAGTGACGTAATTCTCTTGGTCCTAGCACTCTGGGGACGGAGCTGCTGTGCGTGTTTCTCTCGGGGGAGCTCCGGATGGTAATGGCCGGGAGCCAGGTGGCGAAACGTTCGCAGCGAGTGAGCTGCGGGCGAAGCTCAGCCTGCTCCACAGAGGGCCGCGGGTCCGGGGGACAGAAATGCCACCCCCATTTCCCCAATGGCAGCAGTGGAGTGATTGGGGGGGGGTACAACTAAACCCTGGTCTGTACGGTAAAGGATATAGATTCCATTAGCAACCTGTGGCTCAAATCCGAAATGAGGTAGAAGGAAGGAGGCAAGGAAAGTTAGTAACATTTTTTTATAAAATTACCAAACGGGGGAAAGTAAATACAGGGTGAAGGGCAGTGATAAGAGTAATATGCAAACATAAGTACATCTACACTGGCAGCTTCTTGTGGAAGAATGGTTGTTCTTCCACAAAACCTTGCCAGCTGTACTGCACCAGCGTTGTTCTAGAAGTAAATTTACAGTATAGCGTTATAAAATGGCTTCTTCTGGAAGAGATAGTCCTCTCCCCACCAGGAATAAGCCCTCTTGCGCAAGAGCTCTTCCAGAGAAGGGCAGTGTAGACAGGCAACATGAATTTCTTGCGCAAGAAGCCCCTATGGCTAAAATGGCCATCAGAGCTTTCTTATGGAAGAGAGCAGCTACACTGCCATGGATGCTCTTGTGCAAAAGCACATGCCAGTGTAGATGCTCTCTTGTGGAAGTTTTTTTGCACAAGAACTCTTCCGCAAAAGAGTTCTTGTGCAAGAAGATGTCAGAGTAGATGTAGCCAAGGAGAAACGGAATCAAGACAAACCTGCCATTACCTTGATCTCACTGCTTGTGTGCAGTCTTCAACCCTTTGTTTTTCATTAGTGTCCTCTAGGCTTCACTATAGGATCAGTGTGAGTAAATTCTTCATATTCTAATGCCATATGGCATGGAGTAGGACATCTTCATAAAGGCCAAGAGCTTTGCTGTGATAAATACCCCTGGGAGAACTAGGGTGTACTCTTCTTTACCAGCATGCGCATCAGGATGCCTCTTCCTATTTAACAGGAAATCTCCTTTCACTATCTCCTAACTCTCTTACTGTAAACACACAGGCTACGTCTACACTGGCCCCTTTTCCGGAAGGGGCATGTAAATTTCACTAGTCGTCGTAGGGAAATCCGCGGGGGATTTAAATATCCCCCGCGGCATTTAAATAAAAATGTCCGCCGCTTTTTTCCGGCTTTTAAAAAAGCCGGAAAAGAGCGTCTAGACTGGCCCCGATCCTCCGGAAAAAGCGCCTGTACGGTAAAGGATATAGATTCCATTAGCAACCTGTGGCTCAAATCCGAAATGAGGTAGAAGGAAGGAGGCAAGGAAAGTTAGTAACATTTTTTTATAAAATTACCAAACGGGGGAAAGTAAATACAGGGTGAAGGGCAGTGATAAGAGTAATATGCAAACATAAGTACATCTACACTGGCAGCTTCTTGTGGAAGAATGGTTGTTCTTCCACAAAACCTTGCCAGCTGTACTGCACCAGCGTTGTTCTAGAAGTAAATTTACAGTATAGCGTTATAAAATGGCTTCTTCTGGAAGAGATAGTCCTCTCCCCACCAGGAATAAGCCCTCTTGCGCAAGAGCTCTTCCAGAGAAGGGCAGTGTAGACAGGCAACATGAATTTCTTGCGCAAGAAGCCCCTATGGCTAAAATGGCCATCAGAGCTTTCTTATGGAAGAGAGCAGCTACACTGCCATGGATGCTCTTGTGCAAAAGCACATGCCAGTGTAGATGCTCTCTTGTGGAAGTTTTTTTGCACAAGAACTCTTCCGCAAAAGAGTTCTTGTGCAAGAAGATGTCAGAGTAGATGTAGCCAAGGAGAAACGGAATCAAGACAAACCTGCCATTACCTTGATCTCACTGCTTGTGTGCAGTCTTCAACCCTTTGTTTTTCATTAGTGTCCTCTAGGCTTCACTATAGGATCAGTGTGAGTAAATTCTTCATATTCTAATGCCATATGGCATGGAGTAGGACATCTTCATAAAGGCCAAGAGCTTTGCTGTGATAAATACCCCTGGGAGAACTAGGGTGTACTCTTCTTTACCAGCATGCGCATCAGGATGCCTCTTCCTATTTAACAGGAAATCTCCTTTCACTATCTCCTAACTCTCTTACTGTAAACACACAGGCTACGTCTACACTGGCCCCTTTTCCGGAAGGGGCATGTAAATTTCACTAGTCGTCGTAGGGAAATCCGCGGGGGATTTAAATATCCCCCGCGGCATTTAAATAAAAATGTCCGCCGCTTTTTTCCGGCTTTTAAAAAAGCCGGAAAAGAGC